GCAATATTTATTATCCTTCTGTTCAGTAGTGGGTTTCAAAATCCGGCGTTACCGATTTGCTGTCGGTAGCGCAAGTGTGCGGTGCTTCTGCGCATGCGCAGATCCTTTTTGATGATGTCTGGACGGGTGGACGGAGCCTCCCGCTGCTGCCACTACCGGTTCGCTGAACCGGGACGAACCGGGAGCAACCCACTACTGCTTCTGTTGTGACTGGAACTTATTAACAACTAGGACTTCATCTCATCTGCTAAGTGGTTTCTGAAGTGAATAGCTGGTGGTGCAAATCATGCTGTCTTCTCTCATCATGCAGTTCTTTCACAATTTTATTGGGGGGGGGAGAGAGGGAGGCACTTGATTGCACTGCATAACCTTAAATGGAGTGATTTCTTTATTCACCTGCTGAGCAATTGTTCTGAAGGAGTTCTGCTGAGGGGAAATGACTTGCAACTTGCAACTGGAATGACCCAGTAAGATCTGCCACAAGTGATTTTTCACTTGACTTGTACAGCCCTAACCTTTAAATATTCTAAGTATATGCAAAAGCATGTCTACCTTTTTATGCACATACATGTGGGTATATGATTATGGATGTTTGGTCTCTGTTAATTAATCTGCAGATAATAAAGCACCCATACAATGAGATAAATCAAATGAATAATCCTACAGCTCCAGACTTCAGAAGTCATCAAGCTTTCATTTCAAAACAAGACAGAATAGTGTTTTAATGTTGTTCATTGGGGATTTCATTCAGCCCTTACTGTTATTTGGATTGAGATTTTCATCAATAAACTATAAGCCTAAATAAATTAAAGGACACATTTTGATTTTATTTGTGATTTGTTCTCTAGTCCCCTTTCCAATTATTATCCAAAATATTTTCATTCTGTACAGTAAATTTCTAGAGCTCATGTAATAATAATAATTTAATCAACCATGTCTCAGTAAGTTTGTAGAGATGCTAATCTATTTCTAATAGCCTTTTTCTAAATTGTTAGGAAGATTGGAGGAAGTAGATCTTATAATACAAGTGGACTGCAAAATTGAACATGTATTAAATAACAAAACATAGCAATTCATTGTCATTAAAATATGTCATTGTTATTAAAAATATGTCAGAACCATATTAAGTAACAACAAACATGTTGTTTCCAGACCGCTTATTTAACAGTTTTTTTTCTACACTAATTTTCTAATCTACATGGAAAAGTTATCCAGATTTCCATTTTTTTTAGTTTATAGCATATAATAAATGCACCAAAGAAAAATTCCTTGTGTGTCCCATCACACTTGGCCAACAAACCTATCCTATCCTATCCTATCCTATCCTATCCTATCCTATCCTATCCTATCCTACCCTACCCTACCCTACCCTACCCTACCCTACCCTAATCTAATCTAATCTAATCTAATCTAATCTAATCTAATCTAATCTAATCTAATCTAATCTAATCTAAAGAAAAATCTTTGATAGTATACTGCAGGGAGAAACCATAGATCAGTAACATACCTAGATTTCTTTTGATCTCTTTTGCTTCATTGCCGTTAACTTCTAATATTAATAGCCCTCTCTAAGTGGTTTATGATGATAGCATATTGCTCCCAACAATATGTATCCTTATTTTATTGAAAATTATTTAGTTTCTTGATCAGAATACTATGAAATGAAACCTGAAATAAAATATTGAAGAGAATGAAGAGGAATTATTTCTATCCTCATATTCTCTAGATGATATCCCTTTTTTGAGTATTGGGTGTTTTAGTCAAATAAGATGCATTTTGAATAATCCTGTGAATTTTAAAACTTTTTTTTTTAGTAATTGGGAGCAAAAAATCCTCATTCTGTCCCCCAAAATCACATTTTTCTAATTTCCAAAGATTAATAGAATAGATTTCATTGTCCATTTTTTGTCTACTTTTTAGAAGGCATAATGATGGTAGATCACATGTTCAATTTTTGTTATCTCCAAGTGTTGAAAAGTTCTTGAATGTAAATTTGGGAACTGCTTTAGTTAGTAGCTGGATTTATATACTGCATGGTGCTATAAATGGTTTGTTTGAGTTAGGTTTATCTTTTCATTTGAATCCAGCCCAGTATGTTTCAGTAGACCATACTTGACAAGCTGGGCCTTAACATTTATCACCTGTACTGCTCTCATTCAGCAGAATTGTTGGTGTCATAAGAAGCAATAAAATCCAAACTGTTTGAAAGTGATTGATTTTTCCTTCTTTTCCTTTCTGTGTTCTCTTTCTGGCTGGTGACTATTGTCTGTAGGATTTACTGCAAGATCAGTTATTACATGCTGCCACTTCTTCCTTCCCTGGGAGGCTTTTGACTCATTTATTATATTACATTTCCATATAGCCATTCCCTCAGAAGCTCAGGTAATAGATAGGTATTATCTATGTTATTATCTCAGCATACTTGGTCTAAGAGCTATAAACTATAAATCTAAAAATACTTTAAAATGGTCAGAAATGGATATTTCACCTGGAATTTGCACATGGTCTGCTGTAGAGATATTTTCATAAATAGTCTGTCTGCTTTTGTACCAATCTGACCAAGTCGTTCATTGGGAAGTGAAGGGAAATACCAACTTGGATATTGTGACAATCTAAACCAAAGCAGTTGTAACATTGCATTAAGTTGGGTCAAATTATTGAATTCTTTGGCATAAAGCAGTTCTAGTGCAGAACTGCAGGCATACTTGCTTAGTGATACATAAATCAATTTCACTTATACATCATATTAAATAAAAATTGGCTTGGTTTCTCCCTAGCATAATGTGTAAATCCAGCCACTAGTTGCCAAATATGGTTTATGTCTTAATAGTAACTATGATCCATAGGAGACTATTCTAATCAAATAAGTATCCAGTTACAGGGCCAGGCTAACTCACTATGAGTGCTAAAGAGAGAAACTGTTCTTTAGACAGATCTATTAATTATTTTCTGCTAATAGCTATACAGTGTTCAAAGAGAATAAGCCATTGAAGGTTGGTTGTTGGAAATGATAGAATGAAGACTAGTGTTTTCACGTCAGTTTGATAAATAAAAAAAGCTCCAATTTATGGTCTTCCCAGAAATTCTAGTTGGTTACTATAGGGACAATAGCTAGCTTCATATATAGCTAAACATATATTTGTTTGTTCATGGTTTAATACTATGCATGAACCCAGCTCCTATGGTTTGGTAATACCATGGTTAAGATAGTATTGCCTTAGCATACTGAAATCAATGAAAAATAGATAATTGATTATCTCTACAGTAAGAAGCTATTCTCACTTTTGTAAAAAGCACCTAATAGTATCTGGTCTATACTGTCTTGGATCAGAAAGCAATATTGAATTTAAAAATATACTTTATAGGTAGTCTTCCCTATAAACCTTCCCTATAAAGGTTCCACCATTGGAACCTTTACTGAGTAATGCAGCCATTAAGTAAGACATCATATGGTAGGGACTTGGAAAAATTTACTGCCAACTTCGCCATTGACTGTTTGTTGGAGCCAGCTATGCAAATGGCAATCGTGACAGTGGAACATTATGATAGTCATAAATGCAGATTGGCTGTGAAGTGCCAGAATCTTGACAAAAGCACTATAGGGATAGATACTGAGAGAGTTGGAAAGGCAAGCAACTTTATGTTACCTTTTCAGTGTTGTCATGATTTCAAACTGTTGCTAAATGAGGATTTATCTGATACTATCTGTATCTGGATTTTATTTATGTATTTTTTTATTTACTAGATTTTTATCCTGCCCTTATTATAGTATGGTAGTTCAAAAGTAACTCAAAGTTGTGAACATACTTAATAATTGTTTCCCCTCCTATTTTACCCACAACAACAATCCCTGTGACAGTGGTCCAAAGTCATCTAGCTGGCTTTTACATTGTTTTCTCATTATTTTTATACTGTATAAGTAGAAGGTGGCTCAAAGCCATGAGGTTCCTCTTTATAATCATACGCAGACAGTCACAAAGAGGATATTTATAACACCATAGAACTTTGCCAAAATCATCTTGGTATTTATCTCATACCACGTGGCACTTTTCCACTTGAATGCCATCACCTTCCTCATTCAGTTTATTTGGGAACTGTTTTTTTCTTTTGAAAATAATGAGTTTTGAGACATTTGACACCAATGTTTCCGAAGGTTCTAGTCATTCACACAAACTGACATATACAAGAACAAAGTCTTCTCTCTTTATGATTTACTGCAAGTGGATCTCTTGTTTTCCCCCTTTCATGTTCCTTTATTCTAAATACATGTAGGGAACCAAATTACAGGTAGTCCTCAGTTTATGACTACACCTGCAGTGACCATTCAAAGCTACAAAGTCATTAAATGAGGGGGGGCCGCATTGCAGGTATATGAAGTCCTCACTTTAATGATGTTAACAGGGAGTGCCAGGATTGCTGTCATTAAGTTATGCAGTCACATGATAACACATTTTAGGACTACATTGCTTAACAATAGAAGTTCTGGTCCCAATGGCCATTATAACAACATGGTGATTAAAGACTATTAGCAAAGACATTATATTAAGCAGTCCTTTGCAATAGTGGTAGCTCCCTTTCAGAAGACAACTCAGGTAGGGGAAAGAAAAAAAATGAAAATAATATGGTGTTCTTTTTACCTTACAAAGAAAGCAGATCTAAAACAATAGGTTGCTAAAAATTTGATTAATTGATATGTAGAAGCATTTACCACTTTAAGGTAATGCTTAATAATTTAAGGTAATTATAAAGTAATAATGAAGGGCTATTTATAAAAGTAAATGAATTTTCAATTTTAAAAGTGTTGATAAAAATCTGTCAGTTTAAAGGAACCCAAAAAGTCTCTGGAATTTAGGGAAGAATTAAGATTTCTTTTAAAAAGTACTACAAAAAGAACTTCAGTATTTTATAGGCAAAATATTTGTGTCAAGTGATTGGTAAGAAATGTTTTTCTTTATCTTTAAATTATTCCTTATTGTTATACTTTTTATTTTTATTTACAGATTGTATCTAGGAGAATTTCAAATCCTTATGTGGAAAATCCTCCTAATAAGGTATTTGTTAATGTTGCTTCTATATTTATATTATTATAGAAACTTTAGTCACATTCCTTCATTATTTTGAGCTATTTTATACTTAAATGCAAAAGTAGTAACAGCTCCTTTTTTTTGAGCCAATAATTGCTGTGTGAAATTAAATTTTAATATATAATTATTACTGATAACTAAAATGTATTTTAAAAGTTAATGACATTGTGCTGCACTAGTTTGCTGTGTCTTGCAACTTTTATTTAGTTGTAATGCTATATATATAACTGTCTAAACTGCAAAATTTATTGTCCTTCCAATTTATCTTCTTTAGATTTATGGAGAGGATGCCTTGTGTGCTGGAAGAGCTCTCAGAAATTTTTTTCTGTTACAAGCTTCTGCTCTGATAAAAGATAGAATGTCTCTGACAGGGCTTTGCAGGTAACAGTGTATTTCTTATTTTAACTAAATATCATTTTGTGCTTGTTCCTTCATTCACTTGCATTGGATCTGAATTGGTCACCATGCATTTTTGGTTTGGCTGATCGCTTTCCAAGTTGATACTTCTTAATCCAAAGCATTCCTGTAGTGCTATGTAAATACAAAACAGAATAATATGTTGCCATTTGTGATGGATTAACAGTGGGCCGTTAAAGTTTGCATAATTTTACATACAGCATAACAGAATTTGGCCACATTCAGAGAAATTACTTCATATTGATCTGATAATAATTACACATATAAAAAAAAGGGAAACATTTCCAGGATAGTTTATTAGGTAAGGTGTTACAAATTGAGCCCGTGAATTGTTATAGAAGATAAAGTATAGCATAGTGATGGTTAACCTTTTTGCCATCGCATGCCAGGAAAGGGGGTGGGGGTGGGGGAGGTTCACCCGTGTGCGTGCCCACACCCATAATTCTATGCACCCCACCCTGCGCATGCGTGTGCAACCCCCTCCCCCTTGCTCCTGGCACACGATGGCCTGGTAGGCCTGTTTTTCTTTCTCAGCTGGCTCCAGATCCTCTCTATGCATCTGGGGAGGGTGAAAACAGCCTTCCCCACCCCCTCGGAGACCCTTCGGAGGCCTGAAACAGCCCATTTTCCAATTCCTGGTTGGACAGGAAGTGACATTTTTTGATATCTCCAGCCTCCAGAGCCCCTCTAGGAGTCTCTGGAGGCTGGGGAAAGCAAAAAAGGTCAGTTCCTGTCCAATTGGGAGTTGGGAAATGGGCCGTTTCAGGCTTCCGAGGGGGTGGGGAAGGCTATTTTCACCCTCCCCAGATACATAGAGAGGATCTGGAGCCAAGTGAGAAAGAAAAACGGGCCTCCCCCACCGACCCTCCGGAGGCAGGAAACAACCTGTTTTCCTACTGCTGGGTCCAGAAGGCCTGAAAATCAGCTGGCCGGTACGTATATGCAAATCAGAGCTGAGCTGGCGTGTCCTCTGATATGGCTATGCATGCCACCTGTGGCACACGTGCCATAGGTTCGCCATCATGGGTATAGCAGGACATGTCCACAAGGGCCCAATCTAAGCTTTTATGGTATTTTTTTGGTATTGGCCACCAAAACTGCTGTAGGAAATAAGTTGCAGTGTGCTACGATTACAATAATCTATTGTAAATAATACATCAATAGATTTAGAAACATATTTTCAATGAGACTGATAAGCCAGATCAGTTTTGCATAATTTTGAAATATCTTTGAAAGGGTCAATCTCATTTTGACTATACATTTTTATTGGATCAACGTTAGCAGTTTATTCCATAGACTGTAGAAAATTCTGACTTTTTGCTGGGTCATGAGAACAAATTCTGGCAGTGTTCCAGTTTTGTGTTTCATAAGATGCTTGTGCATCCAATGTTGGAGCTTTGCCAGAACTCCCTTAAGTCTTAGGTTAGATAGACAAGCTATAGGGCAGTGTTGGCGAACCTTTTCAGTGCCAAGTGCTAAAACGGGAGCACCAGAAACCGGAAGAGCAGCTCCCTGGTGCACATATGTGCGCTGGGAAGCTGAGCTTCTGATTTCCGGTGTGCGCATGCATGCAGGTCACCTGGTCTTCCGGTTTCTGGTGCATATGCATACGTGAAGACCAGCTGTCTGGTGCGCATGCATGTGCTGGAAACTGGAAGCTCAGCTTCCTGGCGCACGCATGTGTGTCAGGGAGCTGCTCTTCCAGTTTCCAGCACTCCCGTGCACGCAAAGACCAACTGGTCAGTGCACATGTGCACAGTGGAACCTGGAAGAGCAGTGGGCAATGGCTGGCGTACCCGGAGAGATGGCTCTGCATGCCACTTCCAGCACACGTGCCATAGGTTCGCCATCACGGCTATAGGGGAATGCAGAAACTAATTTTGGTAGTTCCTGCATTCCTGCATTTTAGATTCAAATGTGAGTGTCAAAGCCATGAGGATTGAACAGGCAAAAGCAGAGTCCTGTCAGAACTTTCTATCTGCTGTCCTGTCCAGGCAGAATGAGAACAAGTTCTGAGAGTGGTCCAAGTAATGTACACACCTGTTGGGTCTCAAATAATCATTCACAAATAGTGCTTTAATTGTTCTTTTAAGGATATTTGTTGGTATTGCTATTTTCCAAGACCCTAGGAACAACTCAAATGTTTAAAATGATATGCCACTCGCCTTCCCCAAAGCTGAGTGGTTTACCAGCTAACTAAGGGCCTTCTTTGAAATTCTTACAGTAATATGCAGCAGCAGAAGAAAAAAACATAAATTGGGATTGCAACCAACCAGGTTTCTGTGACAACAGTAAACACTAGCAGGTTTCTTCATAACGTATCTCCCTGATTACTGAAACTGAATGTTGCTAAGTAGCTGAATTAGAATTGGATCTGGGCTATGAAAGTGTGAGCAATTATTAGAAAGAGATTCAGAAGTCTAATATCTTGCTACTATTTAGTGATTTTTATCTGGATTTTGTTGCCTTAGTATAGCATAGTGTTTGATTGTGAGTTAGTATGTGGTGTGTATGTGCAGTGTATACTGTATGCATAGAAAAGAGAACAAACCAGTTTAGTTGATCAAATAAGTAGGTGACCAATCAGCAAAAACATGTTTGCACTAGGTAGATTCATCTCATCTTTCATTTGAGTGCTATATCAAGGAAACCAATCACTTGGTAAATTGTTCACCACTGGGCCAATGTGTGGCATATACCCTCCCTTGCAGCAGGTGTCCCTGTTTGAGGCAAGCACTTTCAATTCTGTTGCCAAGCATATTTGCTGCCTGGGATCATGTGGAAATCTTGTTTCTTCACATTTTCCCCTTATAACTGCAAACATAAAAGGCAATGAGAAATAACCAGAAGGGAACTGATATTCTAATGGAATCTTATTTAGTGATTCCAAGTTCACAGCACACAACATATGATGAACCATGTGAATTTGGGCTAGTAGACATTGTGGACAATGTAGGAAGGAGGGAATGATCCACGAGACTTCTGGAGGCAGAGCTGAAGCTATGTCAGACTTTGCTTCAAGCTTTGAGTCATGATCTACAGCAGGTCTATCAAACTGGTGGCCCATGGGCCAAATTCAGCCTGCGGAGGCCATACTCACCCCAGCTCAGCAAAAGAAAAAAACACTGTGATACATCATGATATATATGGCCTGTGATGTGATCGAATTGACACCCCGATCTACAGTTTGAAAATCCCCAAATTAGGCAATTTTTTTTCTTGTGGCACTCTTAACTATCCAGCTATGAGAAAGTACTGGATTAGAATACCCGAAGGTCCCTTAGATGGTTGTATAAATTATGAAAACCAAGCAAAGGAAAAATTAAGGCCAAAGTATTTATGATGTTCATATATGAACTAAGTTAATCTCAACAGCCATCTCTTTTTGGGTCTTTGTACGGAGAACAATAGATACAGCTGAAGTGCTGTAGCTATTAGGCCTCTGCAAAAAGTTTAGAGTGGGATTTGCTCCTAGAAAATTCAGCACAACAAGGCTCTCAGCATTTTCTAGATAGATTTTAATTCAACAGCTATTCTAGTAGAAATGACTCACAGCAGCCATACAGAGATTCAAGTGGCTGTTTTGATAGCTACTTCTTCTGAATATGTAAACTTCATGGCAGATGTTGTAATGTAACCAGTCTTTGGAGTGTACACAATTACACTAAACTGCAAAGTTAGATATAAAAGCATGCTCATCATTTGTGTCGCTTGGATTCATTAAATATATGCTGGATTTCAGTTTAGGTAAGTGTATTTCATCATGATATGAATCAAAGTACAATGTATGTTTATTCAAATGTAAACCTGACATGAGCACTGAACATATTTTCTTGTAAATGCTTCATGATTACAACTTTGGTCTTTGTTTTGTTAGGCAAAGTTGCATTGGATCTGAACTGGTAGACTGGCTTTTGAAGTGCTGTACATTCATTAATAGCAGATCTACCGCAGCTGGTATCTGGCAGCTACTATTAAATATGGGAATTGTGTTTACAGGTCAGTTTTACAGTAGCAAGTCCAACCTGTTGTGCAAAGCATTTGATTTGTCATGTTTTCCTCTTTATTGGAACATTAGATTTACAATATATACAAAAGAAATTAAGAAAAAAGAGGGGTATTATTTGAAAATAGTCTCCCTTTATCATACATTTGTATCTTTTACATTTTGAATAATTACAATGATATGTTTGCTAGATATTTATGCCCATGAAAGTAATAATATATATCACCCTGGTTATTTTTTATCATCTTTTTATGGACATTATTTCTTTTAAATTCTAAAATCTGGCTAGCAATTTCACTGTATGCTTATGGTATTTGAAATTTTTTTGACTTAATATGCATTCCTTTTCCTATTATTTATCTCTTCCTTCTCTTCAATCATTTTTAATGATATTTTTTGATAGTAAAGCCCTTTGGGGAAGGCAGCTGTCTTCTTATATTCAAAGGTGGTAGGCATGTCCACACACATTAATAAATATATAGCTCTGATATGTACCTGCGTTCATCTTTTTTCACGTGTTACCATATTTATCATGAACCCATCCACATCTAAGCCATTGCTCAGTCTGGCCTCTCCATCCACCTTCTTTATTTATAACTGAACTTCTTGTTCATCTCTCCTCTGTATTTTTTTGTTCTGTCCTAGGCTTCCTTAGAAATTAAACAGCACAAACTTAGTCCTGGCAAACCTCTTTAATTCATACGGCTGTAAATTACTTTCATTTACAGTCCGCAAGGCTTGATAAACAGTCTTTCAGAGGAAGATTATCAACACCCACCTATCTCACGTGGAATGCTGCCAAAGAACTAATTTCCGGACGCTGGGCAAGGCCAAACATGTCACAGAGTCACAAACAGAAGTTTCAAATCTTGAATCGGCCAGATGAACTAATTGTTTCCTGCAAAAGTTCACATCCCATTTGCTTCCCTTTTATATCTTATGGGAAGGGCCAATCATCTCCAAGCCTTATTCCCAAGTCGACCCTGTTTCCTTAATTGTTCCTGTCTCCTGGCAGTTTTGTGCATGTGCACACTGGAAACAGGCTCAAACTGTTCTTCTGCCTCACTGATGTCAGACTCCGGAGATTCTGGAGGCAGCAAAGAACTACCAGATGGCCTTAGCCCTCTCTCTGCCTCCAACTCAGAGCCATCGTCTGAGCCTTCCCCAGACTCCAGGACTAGCCCACATTCCTCCCCAACCTCCTCACTGTCCAAATCTGCTGCCAGCTCTGCTGGTGGGCCACAACATTTTTTACATTGGTTCTTGCTATGATTATCTTTTCTTCATGTAGCTCAGTATGACTTGCTTAATGTAACATTTCATTTCTTTTTATGGAGTACTGTGCTTACTGTACTCTGTAAGGCTTTGAATCTTTATTGAATGAGTTCAGCATGACTCTTGAAAAACATTTAAGGTATCTTCACTAACATGGGAAGTTTTTGCAACATAGGGTTTGGATAGAAATATAATTAATGCAGACTCATCCATCAGCATCTTTGTTGCATGAGTTTTTTGTTTTGTTCAAGCCATACTAAAGAAGAGCTACTTTTCAGTAACAGCTTGTTACAATCATATTTTCCCCAGCTTGTATGCTCAGAATATGCACTCCAGGGGTGAAATCTAAAATTTTTCCCTACCGGTTCTGTGGGCATGGCTTGGTGGTGGGTGTCCTGTGACTGAGTGGGTGTGGCCAACTCGATGTCACTCGCAGCCACGCCCACTCAGTCACAAGACCCCCTTCCACCAAGCCACGCCCACAGAACCCGGTAGGAAAACTTTTTAAATTTCTTTCTCCCACGGCTCCACCCACTTGCCCCGTTCCCCGGACTCCTACTGCTCACCTTTCTTCCGCAGCTGGCTGTCAGGGAAGGCAAGCACCCGAAAGGCCCCGGAGTTGCTCACTCTCCTTCTTGAATGAGCCGCTCTTGTCCATGCACTGGCTGCGCAAGCACACATTGTTTATTTAATTCAGCGGCAGGTTGGATGTGCGCTTGCGCAGCCAGTGCATGGACCAGAGCGGCTCATTCAAGAAGGAGAGTGAGTGACTCTGGTACCTTTCAGGCGCTTGCCTTCCCTGACAGCCAGCTGCGGGAGAAAGGTGAGCAGTAGGAGTTGGAGAATGCACCATTCCTCAACTCCGGCCTTGCCGCAGAGCCGCTGTCTGCTCGCCCTTTGCCACGCAGCTCTGCCCACCTGCCCCATTCCCCAGAGTCGGTGATTGCACCATTCCCGGACTCCTACTGCTCACCTTTCTCCCGCGGCTGGCTGTCAGGGAAGGCAAGTGCCCGAAAGGTAGTGGAGTCGCTCATTCTCCTTCTTGAATGAGCTGCTCTGGTCCACGCGCCGGCTGCGCAAGCGCACACCCAACCTGCTGCTGAATTAAATAAATGATGTGCGCTTGCGTAGCCGGCATGTGGACCAGAGCGGCTCATTCAAGAAGGAGAGTGAGTGACTCCACTACCTTTCGGGCACTTGCCTTCCCTGACAGTCAGCCGCGGGAGAGAAAGGTGAGTAGTAGGAGTCCGGGAATGGTGCATTCCCCAACTCCAGGGAATGGGATGGGTGGGCGGAGCCTCCAGCTGCCATTGCTACCGGGTCTCCGATCCACCGGCCATCATCGCTACCTACTCGCCTGAGCCTGTCCGAACCGGGAGCATTTCACCCCTGATGCATGCAGTTTATTTTTTCCGCTCAGTGAAGAAGTTCTACAATACAAAATGGAACCATTTCATTTGGATGTATGCTGTGAGAATAGTTTCTTAGTTAACCTGGCTTTGTTTGTTGAACAGAGTGCTTTATAATAATGTTATTTCTGGTTAGCATCTTGTAAGGAGTCTTTATAGGAGTCTTTATAGGAGTTTATCATGAAAGAGCTTTTCAGAAAATGATAAAATTTTTTTAAAGAGGCATAACTCACTGATAGTGTGATAATTAGTAAAATGCTGTTTGATGAAAGCTGCACTGGTCTTCTTACCTACGCAAAAACTTGTGAAGAAATAATTGGTTGGCATATGTATATTGGTCTTTGCCATCTTCTTCAAATTGACTACATAGACCAGTAGGTTTCTGAGCCTTAGCCATTTAAACACATGTGAACTTCAACAGCTAGAAGTCTCCAGCTAGCATGCTGGAGGTTGCTGTGGTTGAAAAACATGATGTGAACACACTCATGTTATTTGTCGTGCAGTGGTTTGGAAGTATTGTTTCCCTTTGGTTTATGCCATTTTCAGAATATTTGTTTTCTACCTTTCTAACTAGTCTACAGTACTAGAATTCTTGGGGAAGAGGTTCCACCATAGAAATATTCCCCTAACTCTGTATAATTTTCAAGTTTATACACAAAATGCCAGGTTTTTCTACTTAATGAATTGTAGACTAAAGTTGCATGTATGTATTTGACTTGTGATAATCAGGAAAGAACAATTTCTTTAAAAATATATATAATCATTTTTCCCCTTTTCTTTAAACAGTGGATAAGCAGATATATTTTCTAGACAGGTATGTTTTCTACCAGTTCTCATCTGATGAATGCACATACCTATTCTGTGAATATGAAGGAGAAAAAGGATGGAAAAATGGTGTGAAATTTCTACTGAAGATGGTGCCTGCTACTTCTCCAAGCATGAATACGTGTAAGCTGTAAGTATATTTCTATTAGTTACTGACTGACTTGCTTCACATATACATTATATGTTTTGAATTTTACAGTATGTTATGAGTCAGTTTCTTATGAATTACCTTTTCAAACAGTTTAATACAATTTAAAACTATTGCAAGTAATTTTTTTAAAAAAAACCTAAATCACTAGTGTGAAATATTATATATAAATATCAATATAACATATGTACCATTGTAAAAATGATTATAATGGTTTAGGTTTATAAAAATAAATCTAAACCACTATGTTAAAAAGAGTATTTTTTTCTTACGATTTATACAGAAATCAAAGTATAAACTTAATACTTAACATAATAAATGAACAGGATATTTGCTTGTGAATAGCAATAAACCCTATCTTTTTACTTTCTGCTTTCTATGTTTTATAAAGCCTGGTGCTACTTATGTATCTTTGTAATCACGTATATCACAGTATCTAACAAACATGCATGTTGTAGTTTTCCTTATTTTTAAGCAATTTTAGTTAAACTAAAAGGTTACTATCTTGGTCTCAATTAGTTTTGTTAGTGATGGGCAAAAAAACATCAAACCTAATACATAATTAGGTACACAGATAGCACTAATGTCATAATTGAGGCTGTTTAATTTTGGCTTAATTTGACTTGTGATCTCAACTACCATCACCATAATATAAATCTGTATTATTGTGGTTATTTAATAATCTTGATTAAAGAATCGATGAGTTAGGACAATATGTGAGCTTTATCACATCATGTTACTTTAACATAGTGACAAATTAAAGAGCAGGACTGTTAAAATAATCAACGAGTAATGACAAATAGAGAGAGGACAGCGGAACATGAGATTAAAAAAAAATCTCATAAGAAATTTACTGATGGGACAAACTGAGATTAAAACATCAGATACAGTAATCTGCTAGGTTTCATGTACTCACTGGAGGCAAAGTCAGTGGCTTTCTTGATTCTATCTGTTGATCACAAGAAGCTAATAATTGAGGTTTATAACTTTAATTCTTCTTCCTTGAAATTAAACTGAAGAGTTTATTTTCTTGGGGTGCCATTCTTAAATTAAAGTTGCTGTTCAGTTATGTCATTCCAGGAAACGTAATAACAAACCTATAACATTATATTTTCTTAATATAAACATATTCGATAAAAATAAAGGCATTTGGTTGTAGTGGTGTTAGGAACGTTTTAATCATTTATATTAATATATATTAATCATTTATATTGACATATACATCTGATATCAAGCTCTGAGCGGTTCCCAATCAGCAATCAAAACACCAATGACAACATAATATAATATATAGATATATTAAAACCATAAATATTAAAAAAAAAAAAACCTCTAGGACTAAGCCTAATTTTTAACATACCATTCCTCATAAAATCCTCTCATCCACCACATCTCTTCCCAGCATGTATGGGAAAAGCTAGGACTTCAGAGATTTTTGGAAGGCTTGGAGGGTAAAGGCCTGCCAAACTTCAAAAGGAAGGCTATTACAGAGGGCCAGGGCTGCTATGAAAAAGGCACACTTCCTAGTTCCCATAATATGGTAATGTTTAAGAGAAGGGATTAGGAGCGTGTCCACCTATCTGATCTGGTAGAATGGGTAGATGTCCTTAGGAAGAAGCATTCATGCAGATAACCTGACCCTGTGTTGGGTTTAAAAGATGATAACCAGAACCTTGAATTGTACCTGGAAGAAAATGAGAGCCAGTGTAGTTTGCATAGCAGAAATACTACATTGGCAAATCTAAGCATTATGTCTTAGTCATAGCAGTCTAATTCTCTGTTTTCCCGTGCCTTCAGGGAATTCAGACCAATCTTACACCTCAGATGTACTATGAGCTTTTATTTGCTTTTTTGTTTCAAAAGGGATAACAGAAGAATAGAAGAAACAGCTGAAAGCAATGCAGAAATTCTTGCTCGTCTCACAGCAGCAGTAAGCCTTTCTTAAAGATTAATTTGTGGGATGATTTTAATTAGTTACTTAAACAATGCATTTCTTGTATTTGTATCTGGACTGTAAATCCTCCACTATTGATTAGCAGTGGAAAAGGAAACAGTGATAGTAATTAATATTACTTGTAGAACAGTGCTAGTTATTAAAATAAAAAAACTCAGGGTAAGCGTAGCTAAAATGCGAAGCAAGAGTATTAAAAATCCTTGGACAGTAAGATATATTATTACTGAAGTTGGGAGATATTTTTGCATAATAGAATATGAAATACATGTCGCTTGTTTAGAGTATTTAAGGCATTGCTGAGAAAGATTTTTCTCAGAGGTCCACTGAATTCAAGCCAGTTAAAGAGGAATTGGGCACGTACAACTGGTCTGCATTAGCCTGGAACATCTTTGCCAATTCTGACTTTATGATCCCAAGCTCCCAAAATATCTTCATTTGGCAACACATTATTCAGCTCTCTGCACAAGAGTGTGCAGGAAGACCAGACATTAAACTATTAATTCAGATTCCTATCCACATGAAAATAAACATTAATACCAAGGATTAGGCCAAGATATCTGAAAATGACCACCGTGGGCCAGTATTTCTGCTGTACTGTTCGTTTAATTTCAACTGAAATAAAGGTTTAATAATTCAGCACTTGTTCCATGCAAACCCCATTTAACAATTGAGTGCATATATAAGCAAAACTAAAAGAGTAAAGAAATAACCTGAGCTATGTATCTTGTAAAAATGATAACACTTAAAAAAAAATGTTTAAAACAGTTAGTTTTTTTCTGTTCATCAATTGGCAGCATTAGAAACCCTGTGCATAAGAGAATGTGCTTAACTTTTATAAATACAATAGCTTTCACCCTCATGTCTTTGGATTATGGTGCCCTTCATCCCTGACAGTTGATCAGTCATACTGGTGTTGATGGAAATTGTAGTGTTTATTTTTAAACATGCTTGTAAGGATCTCTTTGATTTTAGATAGCTTTGAAATACAGTTTTTTTGCTTAGCATGTAGACTGAATTTATAAATCAGAAACTGGTAAGGTGGTTCTCAGGAGGGGTGAAATGTAAAATTTGTTATTACCGGTTCTGTGGGTGTGGCTTGGTTGGGGGGGTGTTAATGTGACTGGGTGGGTGTGGCCAACTTTTTTTTTTAACTTTTCAAAGCATTTTTTCTAATGCTTTGAAAAGCCTCTGCCAATCAGGCAACTCAGCTGGGATCGTCAGAGAGGCATTTTAAAAAATACCTCTCTGCCGATCAGGCAACTCAGCTGGGAGTTGCCAGAGACTTTTCAAAGCAATTTTTTTTACCACCTCTTCGGCCAAGAGGTTGCAGAAAAAAATGCTTTGAAAAACCTCTGATGATCCCAGCTGAGCCGTGCGATCATCAGAGGCTTTTTTTTTTTTTTAACTTTTAATAGCATTTTTTCTTTGGAAGAGGTTGTAGAAAAAATGCTTTTAAAAGTAAAAAAAAAAAGCCTCTGATGATAATGCGGCTCAGCTGGGCATGGGGAGAGGGGGCGCAGAGATTTTTGCTACCGGTTCTCTGAACCACCCGCCGCCATCGCTACTGAACTGGGAGCATTTCACCCCTGGTTCTCAGGTATTGTTGGGTTTCAAGTTCCATAATTCCTCACATTTTGCTGTGATTAAGAGCTGTGGTTAGAATGCAGTACTGCCAGCTACTTCTGCTGGCTGCCGACTGCCTGCAGTTTGGCAGTTTGAATCTCACTAGGCTCAAGATTGACTTAGCCTTCTAGCCTTCCGAGGTCAGTAAATGAGGACACAGATTGTTGAGGGCAATATGCTGACTCTGTAAATGACTTACAGTGGGCTGTAAAGCACTCTAAAGCCGTATATAAGTCTAAGTGCTATTGCTATTTTAAGAGCAGATTTAAAATAAAGCTCAACAAAATCTGAAGAACCATATAGTGGTCCTTCATGGCATGTTAGCAGTGGTGGATTGCTCCCGATTCTATCCTGTTTTTGTGAACTGGTAGTAAAAATGGTGGGAGGCTCCGCCCACCCTCCCGGATGTCATAATTGATGATCTGCGCATGTGCAGAAGCTTCTGCGCGCGTGCTCCCGTTGTGAACCGGTAGTTAAGGTAAGTAGAACCCACCCCTGCATGTTAGACATAGCAGACTCTAATTAATCTTTATAGTCAGTAAAGCAGTCCCACTGCATAATAATATCTAAATGTTTAGAAGATGATTAAATAGTAAATTGATTAATAATAAAAATGGCAACCATGATGGGCTGCTACTTGGTACTTCTCAGGGTGATTTTACTATCCTATTACACATCCAAGCCATCAGGTACACAGAAACTGAAGGAAAAAGCTAAATCGTTAAGGCACATTTTGAGACAAGACTTTTGCCAGCTGCAAGATATTGGAAATAAATTGTGAGATGTAAAGAGGGAGCAGATCAGCAGAAGCCATTAATGATGTTTGGAAAGCAGCACAGTGCTATGGCCCAGATTTAGAGCACCACTTGGGCCATGAAGTATTTCCCGAGGTTAATGGCTTTGGACTGGTGGTTGCCATTTCTTTTTTCCTCCCTGACTTATGTGCATCCATGGATGGTCAACAGAGACAGATGGTACTCCAAAGAAGGCTTTATCTTGATTGTAGAAAGTCTGAGATACTGGTTGCTTTCTTCAATTGGCTTTTACTCTACGAAAACTCTGTGACATTCAGGTAGCTCTGAAAGTTGTTTCAGAACAGTTGTATACTGAATGAGTCTTATAAATACTGAAAGAATTCATAAGAGTGCAGTTACTGGCAGCAAAGACTTTGGGTTCCATTGGCTTTAGTCGTTATGTCTTCTCACTAAAAATTTCAAAAGGCCATCTTTAGGATTGGAGTTTGGTTTGGAGTCAGAGGGCTATACCTGGGTGACATTAGGATTCCCATTGTCATTTGGGGATAAAAATGGACCTGGGGGGTCCAACGGCAGAGTGAGTCTGAGGGTCATGGCGGGAGGAGGGGGGAAGAGGGTTTAGAAAGGGTGCCGGGGAAAGAGGTGAAGGGCCTGTCTGTTGTGGCTCCGACCCCTGAGCCCATCTTATTGGAGGAAGAAGGCTCCGAACATGAAGGAGAGGAGCCGGCCAGGCCTCCCTTTCCAGGCCCCTCCTCTCTGGCAATGCCTCAGGTGTCTGCCGAGGGAGAGGAGATTGACCAGGAGTCAGGTGTCCCCAATGACAGCGATGAGGGTGATAAGTCGTTCCTGGATCCACGCCAATGAAGGCGAGATAAACGTTTGCAGCAGATGAGGAGGCGTGCCAGGGATTAAGCTGAGTCACTGGACCACACCCCACAGGCTATATAAGAGAGTGTGGTGGCCATTTAGATTCTGTGACGGACAAAGCTAACTTCTGGCACTTTGTACAACGCCTGATCTGCTGAAGGTTTCATGTTTGAGCTGGACTGTTTTGAAAACTGTGTGTATTAGTTGGTGTTATCTGGTGGAGGAACACTCCCTCTTCTTGTAGTAAAGCACTTGGCAGACCGTTATCGTATTGCTGCCAAGTTCCTGATAACGAACCTTGTGTGTGCCGAGTACTTCTTTAACCCCTGGCTGGCTGTTTGTGTGTGTGTGGGGACGGGGACAGAACACTGTCCATTAGCACAGTGGGTGGGAGGGGTAGATATGGCGGGCGCAGGGGGCCGTATTATGTTCGGGGGGTATGCACCCGCTACTTGCAAGCGATGGCGCGCTCCGGCCCCCATGGCGCTTCCTGTAACCCCGGTTGCACAGAGCCTCAGGGCCCGAGCCTTCGGCTGATGTTGTGCAATGTCAGGTCTGCTGTAAATAAATCCCCCCTCATTGATGATCTAATCCAGGAGGGGGTGCCTGGTGGGGATTATGGAAACCTGGTTGGGCCAGGAGGGGGCTGCCCCTCATTGAGATGTGCCCACCAGGTTTCCATGCATTTCATCAGCCGAGGGCTCAGGGGAGGGGCTCAGGGGAGGGGCGGTGATTATTAAGGAAGGTCTGGATCCGAGGGAGGCCACTGTTCCTCAGGTAGCCGGTTGTGAGTCCCTCCTTGTGAAGTGGGGGCATGGGGTGCAGATGGGCCTACTGATCACGTATCTGGCTCCCTGCCATATGGCAGCAGCCCTGCCTGAGCTGCTCGACATAATAGCTGGGGTGGCGGTGGAGACCCCCAGACTTATGGTCATGGGGGATTTCAACCTGCCATCCATCGGTGAAACGTCGGAAGCAGCTCGGGAGTTCATGGCTTCCATGACGGCCATGGACCTGACCCAGTTAGTTCATGCCCTCAGTCACATCGGGGGACACACACTGGACTTGATTTTTGCCTCTGGTCAATGGCTGAATGATCTTGATTTAGGGGAGTTAGTCATTAATCCCTTGTCATGGACGGATCATTCGCTCCTTCGGATAGACTTTCGGGCCGCTTCCCTTCGTCACAGGGAGACGGAACCGACCAGGTGGTTGGATGGACCTGGATAGGTTCCTGACGGAGCTTGGGCCATTCCCAGAGGCTCTGGCTCATGACTCGGCTGAAGAACTGGTAGCCGCCTAGGACAGGGTGGCTGCCGGAGCTTTGGACCACGTTGTGCCTTTGCGGCCTCTGACCCAGTGCCGATCTCAATTAGCTCCTTGGTTCTCCGAGGAGCTGAGAGAGATGAAGCGCCGGAAAAGACGCGTAGAGAGTGATTGGAGGGCCAGCCGCACCGAATCTGACCGGGCACTGGTGAGGTCTTATATCAAGACCTACCTAGTGGCAATAAGAGTGGCGAAATCTAATTATTTTTCCGCTCTTATTGCATCTGCAGAGAACCGCCCAGCCGCCCTGTTTAGGGTGACCCACTCTCTACTGCAGGTGGAAGTGCGGGATGATCCCTTGCAGGGTAGAGCTGAGGATTTTGTGCAATATCTGCATGATAAAATCGCTCCGATTCGGGATGGCCTGGACTCCGATTGGGTAGCCTCGGATGGGAGGATAGGGGCGGATCTTGAGAATGTTATCTGGGAGGAGTTTGACCCTGTGGCTCCCGAGGACGTGGACAGGATTTTGGGGAGACTTAATGCTACCACATGTTTATTGGACCCGTGTCCCTCCTGGTTGGTGCTGGCCTCCCAGGAGATTACACGAGGCTGGTTTCAGGGGATTATAAATGCTTCTCTGAGCGAGGGTGTCTTCCCAGCCACCTTGAAAGAGGCAGTGGTGAGGCCCCTCCTCAAGAAGCCTTCTCTGGACCAGGCTGTATTAGCTAATTACCATCCGGTCTCCAACCTTCGCTTCGCAGCGAAGGTTGTTGAGAGTGTGGTGGCGCGACAGCTCCCTCAATACCTGGATGAAGCTGTCTATCTAGATCCATGCCAGTCGGGCTTCAGGGCGGGATACAGCACAGAAATGGCATTGATCGCATTGGTTGATGATCTCTGGAGGGCTCGGGACAGGGGTTGTTTCTCAGTCCTGGTCCTCCTAGATCTCTCAGCGGCCTTTGATACCATCGATCATGATATCATGCTGCGTCGGTTGGGGGAACTGGGAATGGGAGGCACCGTGATGCGGTGGTTCTTCTCCTTTCTCTCTGACCGTACACAGTCTGTGTTGATGGGGGGGACAGAGGTTGACCTCGAGGCACCTTACTTGTGGGGTGCCGCAAGGGTCAGTCCTCTCGCCCCTCCTGTTCAACATTTATGTGAAGCCACTGGGTGAGATCATCCATGGTTTTGGGGTGGAGTGTCAACTGTATGCAGATGACATGCAGCTGTACATTTCTACCCCAGACCACCCCAATGATGCCCTTGATGCGATGTCCCGTTGCCTGGAGGCTATGCGGATCTGGATGGGGAGGAACAGGCTCAGACTCAACCCTTCCAAGACCGAGCTGTGGTTTCCGGCACCCCGATATAGCCAACTGATACCATTGCTGGCTATTGGGGAGGAGATCTTGTCCCCCTCAGAGAGGGTTCGCAACTTGGGCGTCTTCCTGGATACGCGGCTGTCTTTAGACAATCATATGACGGCCGTGGCCAGGGGGGCTTTCTATCAGGTTCGCCTGATTTCCCAGTTGTGTCCCTTTCTGGATTGGGATGCCTTACGCACGGTCACTCATGCCCTTGTCACTTCCCGTCTGGACTACTGTAATGCTCTCTACATGGGGCTCCCCTTGAGGAGCACCTGGAGGCTCCAACTGGTCCAGAATGTGGTCGCACGAGTGGTTATGGGAGTGACTTGTCGCTCCTGGGTAACACCTCTCTTGTGCGAGCTGCACTGGGTCCCAGTGGTCTTCCAGGTGCGTTTCAAGGTGCTTGTCACCATCTTCAAAGTGCTCCATGGCTTAGGACCGGGATACCTACAGGACCGCCTTCTACCACCGAATGCCTCCCACTGTCCGATACGCTCTCACAGAGAGGGCCTCCTCAGGGGCCAAGCAATGTCAGCTAGCGACCCCCAGGGGGAGAGCCTTCTCTGTGGGGGCTCCTGCCCTATGGAATGAGCTGCCCCCGGATATAAGAAGGATCCCCAATCTCCATGCCTTCTGTCGTGCTCTGAAGACTCTATTGTTCAATCAAGCCAGCCTGACCGAATAAATTAATGGGTTTTAAATTGGTTTTAAAGGGGTTTTAGCTAAGGGATTTAATAATGGCCAAATTGCTTTAATTTATTTTAACAGTTTTTAATTTTATGATGGGTTTGTTTTAATATGGCTGTACACCACCCTGAGTCCTTCGGGAGAAGGGCGGTATAGAAATGTAATAAAATCAAAATAAAATCAAATCAAATCATTTGAATTTTGAATGAGAATAGCATGGGAAAATAGGTGGAAGTGGGGTTAGAGGGCTGATTGAAGGGCTTCAAATTCTGGAAATATTTTGACTGATTTGGCCCAGGTAGATGGCAGAGATTTTTGGGCTGTAGGGGGTAATGCAGTCCAGAATGGGCTTTTGTGAAATGAAAAATGAGTGAAATGAGATTATAGTTGGCACTAAGAGGTAAAATGGAACACTGAGACCAGGCCAGGCCTTGGAGAAGGAGGTTTTGATAGCTCTTACTAATCCCCTCCCTCAGGTTCTTCACAAGAACCAGGGATTCTGGCTTGTCAATTGCAAAGGATAAGAATCATACGTTAAGTAGTGGCACAGAAAACTTATTCAAGCCTATACACAAGAATCTAGTTAACTAAAGATCAGTGCTAAACTGGTGCCAGATAAGGGTCAACAGAATTCATGAAGAGTTGGACTTAGACTCTTAAGGTGATTACATATTTAATTCTGCCCCCTAACTCTGCTGGCTTTTCTCTTACATTGTTATTGAATGCCGGGTTTGCCTGTAAAAAAACATCAAAACCCACCCACAATTTAATTGTGGATAGGAGGCTACCTCTGGTTTTTATTTCAAAAACCTGGAGGAGGGGCCGGTGTCTCTAGGGAGTCTGCTCCTGGGATTTCAGGTTTAGCATTAACTGGGGTCCTAAGATACTGTAGAGGGGTAGTTGTAGTCATCCATTTCACTTTGTCACGGTTGTTCAACCTAATTGTTGAGATAATGATCTTATTTCCCAGTCTGGGGATGTTAGGACAAGTTAATCAGGCTTCCCTGCTGAGGAATCTGGAGTGGGCCAGATAACTATGGACCTAATGCAGAGGGACATTGAATTTGGGTCCTTATTATGGATAGTTCACACACTAATGGCTGCAGAGTTTAATATACAACTCTCTCTGCTGTGAAGAAGGATCTGTTAAATCAGTCTGTCCCAGATCTTCAAAGAATTATTGGTTTTTCAGAAGGTGCTTAGGAACTGAGATTCTGATGGGCAGTTTGATTGAGACCATGAACATTAGTTAAAGGGACAACTAAAGTGTTTGACCAGAGTGCAGTAACTCTCTTCTCATGGATCCTTGGTTAACTGAAAAACTCAGAAACTTGGAAGTCACAGAGGATATGGCTATCCCCATACTCTTCTCCTTCCCTTCTTTTAGGGTGCTCCTCTTTCAGAGTTCAGAAAAGCAATTAAGTCATTATTATTCTATCCAAAGTGCATGCTGGTTTGAACATTTAAATTACCAGACTTGTGTTTTTGTACACCTTTCTTTTGAATGCAGTATTCTTTTGATACTGTATTTATTTTATGAGAGAGTTTATTATTGTTTTTGAGGATGGATTTTGCTTGGTGGTATTTTTGATTGGAAGCTGCCCAGAGTCTTCAGAGAATGGGTAATATACAAATAAAGTAAAAAATGCATTTAATTGTTTAGACTACTCTTATATGGAATCAATAGATTGGGCTTACCGCAAGCACTTAGTCATTTTCTAAGTTAAGCACTGTTAACCAATAATAATCTAAATATAAAATATTAATTGAACTGTAGCTGCATAAAGTAAAATAAAGGTTTATGTATAACTAATATGCCTGGGTGAGTGATGTAGCTCTTCAACTTTATCTTTTCACTTCTTTCTTTCTCCAGTTCAGGGTCTACTTTTGGTTATGTACATTTAAAAGTCCTTTTTTCTAAGTACTTATTTCTTGATGAGTCAGACTGAAACCTGTAAATAAAGGAAATGCATGTTCTCTCCAAACAATAGAAGGGCGAGGAACTGTTGAATGAGAACAGCTGTGTTGAATAATGCCAAGTTAGTTCAAGTGCAGGAAATAACTGCAAAGGGTGCACTTTTGGTCAAAGATAGTTTATTTCAGTTAGTTAAAATAATATGTAAAAGTTGTACATAAGGCAGTGAAAGATGTTAGGAGGTCAGGAAACTGATAAAAGGGTATATATATATATATATATATATATATATATATATAAAAATTACAATCCTGTATAGACTTTCAAATTCCTTCACAAATTGGGCCAATGTGAGTTGCTTATTTGTGAGATTTATATTGGAGACTCTTTTCTATTTATCCTTGCTTAGTCGAGTTTGTTGATAAGTGATTTCTGAGAAGACGTTTAATGAAATGAGGGAACTCTGTGTGCCAAATGTGATGAAAATTATATATTTTCCCCATATCTTACCCAATTTTTAAAGATTTATAGCTTGGTCATAACCTTGCTGAAGTTAAAATACTTTTTCATGAAGCTAATACCTGTAGCATTTAATTAATGCTATAGTTCAGCTCTGTTGCATTCAGTGGAACATACATCTCAATAAATATAATTAGGCTTGCTTCTGAACTTCATTCTGGTCTTAAATTCGGAATGCTGGAAAGAGTAAATTCCATCTGTTTCCATTACTGTTCCTTGATTAGGCAGCAGACAAACTATGTGGTAGTTCCATTGGAAACAACATAAATAGTAAAATTAATTTATATATATATTCCATCAGCATATTTATAACACATTTTTTTTGATGTGCTAGATGCAGAGAGAACTGGCAACTGTTCTGGCTATGAAAGCAAGAAAATCAGGTGAATATACCAAGTTTTTGTCTATATACAACATTTTTTAATATAATCAAAGAAAGAAAAACTAGAATTGATTGTCTGAATGTGACAAAAAATATTGTTGATATTTGATATCTGATATATATATGTCAGATATTTTTCATTTTTTATTCAGACAATTAATATTTACTTGATGTATTTGCTTGATGTATTATAGGTAGTCCTCAATTTACAGCCAGGAATTGAGCCCAAAAATTATGTGGATAAGTGAGACAGTTGTTAAATGAGTTTTGGTCCAGTTTACCACTTTCTTGCCCCAGTTAAGGGAATTACTGCAGTTGTTAAGTGAATAATACAGTTTTTAAGTGAATCTGGCTTCCCCATTGAGTTTGTCAGAAGGCAAAAAAAAGTAGCCACATGATCTCAGACACTGCAACTGTCATAAATATGTTGCCAAGTATTCAAATTTTGATCATGTAACCATAGGGATGCTGCAATGGTTGTAAGTGTGAACATTGGCGATAAGTCATGTTTTTTCAGTGGTGGTGTAATTTCAAATGTTCACTAAATGAATGGTTGTAAATCAAAGGCTATCTATTGATTTATTCTGTTTGCTTGCATTTTTATATTTTATAAATTAGTACATTGCCTTAATTTGAAATATAGGTTTCAATTTTGAAGGTGATGTTTATTTTCATTGTTTAAGTAGTTTATCTAGGATCCAAAGTATATTTTTCAAAATTGTCAATATTTACCTGATTTTGTAGAAATTGGTCAAAATAGGAGCTCTGGGATATTTGTTATTGGGAGAAACCTTGCTTGCCTATGAAAACAGAATCTCTTCTGGTCTCATGTAAAGTCATTGAAAATAGATCACGTTTTCAAAGGAAAAGCTGTTAAAAATTTGAAATGGATACACAAAAGAAATGCCCATTTCACAATAATGTGAAAGCTAAAAAGAACAATCAGCTTGTTCTATCCCTGTTCCCATGGGTTATTTATATCAATTACATTTAGAAGCAAATTTGTGTATCCCTTGAAAGCACAAAAGAAATGCCCTCTCAGTCCCTGTAATTAGTGCTAGTGCTGTGAAATATTCTCTGATGGTAATTTCTAAAATCCCTTTCAGTTGAGCTGTCCAGTTTGAGTTATATCCCAACATATCTGGAAGATGAAAGGATAGGGAGAGCTTCAGTAAGAATTCATTATGTTTCAGAGAATTTATTAAGAAAATATTAGCCAAAAAACCCATCAGAGAACAAAGACGTTTTTCAAACCAAGCAAATGCCATTGCAGTAAAATATTTGTTTATAATATTTGTTTATAATATATATAATATAAATATATATTTATACATTCCTTATAAAAATAAATAAATATTTAAATATTAAATATTTTAAAAATTATAAAAGAAATAATGTTAGTACTATGATTGTGGTAAAAAACTCAGGCTTTAAAGTCATTTGGGGGTACATATCTGACAAAACACATATTAACTATCACAGCAGATAAAGATAGTCTTTCTTCCATGTTTAATGAATGTGACTAATTTTAGTTTATCCATATCAGACTCATAAATATTAGTTATCCATGTTAGTCAGAATAAATTATTTCTAAATAAGCAAAGCAAAGCATTATAATGATATTCTGCAGGCATGGCTTCTTTGTCTTGTGATTAATGAATCCGAGTAAAGAAAATGATCTTAGTGTACATGCTCTTCCAGTTGTAGTTATGAAGTGGAGCATAGGTTGTCTTGAGTGGGGGAGGTGTTGGGAGGTCTGGCAGAGGCCCACACTGCAGTACCTCCCTGCTTCACACTTGCCTGATCTTGCCTCCCAAGATCTTCCCCTACTCCCTACTCCCTGAGGCATCCTGTCTTCCACTTCCTTCCATGTTGGGTTCCACAGTCTTGGGCCTTCTCCCCTGAGTCACACCTCACTTTCCAAAGGTCGTCTTTGGGAAAGACAACTGGCCAATCTGTCCCATAGTTTTCCTATCTAGGAGCTGCATGCTGCCATTACGTAAGCAGGCTTCACTTTGAGAATGGTTGCAGTTCTCATGATCTGCAAATATGGTTGCTTCCAAAATGATGCCTGCTTCTGGAAAGTTATCACATGGCTACTGGATAGGAAAATCACACAGCAGGTTGGACAGCAGATTTTCCTTCCCAAACTGATTTTTGAAAAAGGTAAATAAAGAAAGCAGTAATGAGGAAAAGGTGTGGGACTCAGAAAGGAAGCAGGCTCAAGGTCAGCAGAGTGGGATGGGGGGGAAAGTGGGAGGGTGATGCCTTTAGTCATGAGGGCAGTCAGGTTGTCAAGCACCTGAATTTTGTTCATGTGACCATGGTGGCTTGCAGCAGGTGTAACTTCCTGTGCAGGTTGTAAATCCCTTCTTTCAGCGCCATCATGATTTTGAATGGTTGCTGAACAGGGGTGGGTTCTAGTTACCTTTACTACCGGTTTGCATTGCTCATGCATGCGTGCGCTTCTGTGCTTGCGCAGATCACTACCGGTTCTTGTGAACCGATCTGAACTGGGGGCAACCCCCCACTGTTGCTGAATTAATGGTTGTAAATTGAGGACTATCTATATTTTTGTACACATCTATTAATGTTAAAAATACAAAAATTTGAGATGAAGAATAACAATTCAACTAATGAATGGTGTTAATCCAGCAATCTTCTTTTTCTTTTCCATTTAACTATCTACTGCTTCTCTAGTTAATTGTGCACTTTTTCAAAGCAAAACCATGTTCTGTTTGGATTGTTAATGGTGTTTTGGAAGCAGTGTGATAAATGCAGTTTATCAGCACTTTTAATATTTGTTTGGTGCTTTAATATTGAGTGTAATGCATAAGATAAACATCTGATATGGCTGGTGGGAAACTTTCCCATGTTTTTATTGTACATACAATTTGAGCTCTATAATAATTGGAAAGTTCAGTTTACACAACCTAGTGCTTTCTGGATAAGTTAGACTCCATGCTAGCTGTGAATTTTGTACTTCAAAACATCCAGAATATACAACATTGGTGAAAGCTGTTATCTTCTTAAAAACTTTGAGTTCTTTTCCTGTGTGAGTCAGTGAAGGGAAGCTTTCTCCAATTCACGTTTCCAACAATTGATTTGTCTTGCATTTTATTATGAGCTTTACAAAGTAGTTAGTATTGATATTAAATGTTCACTCTGTAAAACCTAAAGAAAGGAAGCTGATACTTTCCTTAGTTATATTGTTCCATTCTGTTTGGCTGCAGAATATATACGGTACGAATAATTAGTCTGCGTTTAAAATTTTATCTCTGAAGTCTATAGTTTATAAATTTAAATTATAAATTTAAAAATTCACTTCTGTACAATATAGCAGACTTGAGTTTCCCAACCTGGTGCACTCCTGGTCCAGCTAAATCTGCATAGTGATGTTAGGGAAGGCCATTGTAGGAGAACCAAAGACTATGGGTTGAATTTTAATACTGAGATAAGTAGATACTTAGAGAAACATATCCTGTTCTTGAGTGAAAGTACCCAATACGCTAAAATATTCCTGTTATGATAACCATCCCTCATAATATTGCACTTTAGTATACATTTTTCATGCATTGAGTTCCAGGTTATTCTTTTTGTTAAAAGTTCCTCTATGCTTTCATAACTGGTTAGTGATAGCATCCATAATTTCTATTCAGAGTCTTTAATCCTAACATTTAAACAAAATCTAGAATCTGCATGTTGAAAAGCACCTTTGGAACTAGAATCTGCACATAAACTTATGAACAATACTCTTCATAATTCAAGTTTTTCCTCAAACATACTGCAGCTAATTCTGATAATAGACAAAAGCATATTCTTGGGGGTTTCTTTTTAAAATCCATTGTAAACCATCTTGTGGAAGTAAGTTTAATTTCAATTCCATTTTACATAGATTTCAATTTGGCATAGGATTTTTTCTGGTAAACCAATAAAAGTCAATAATGGAACTACTAGGAAGTAATCTTCATTTTAACTGAAATAATACATAATTATCTTAAGTGAATCTTCCATTAAGAACAGATAAGACTATGCTTATTGAAAAAATTAAACAAACCTTGCTTAGCAAGAATAGTAATTAGTTAAGTATACCCAGAGTCTTTTTGAGCAAACCTTTACTCCATTACTTGTTTTATGTTAAACATCTTGAAGGAAAATGCTTCTTGTCCACAAGGGAATAATGAAATAAAAACAAGGCATAGCATCCCGATCTCTTAAGTGGCTATTAAAAAATCAACATCCTAAATTCCTTAGGCTTATGAGGATATGAATTCATTTGAAATTACACTTCAGCAAGCTGACGTTGTTTAACATTCTATCCTTCATTTATTCATGGAGCTGAGCCTTATTACATCAATAAAGCAAAAAATGATGTAGGTATAAACGAGGTGTGACTGACTGGATTCATTGTGTTTGGAATTATTGAACCAATGTATGGCTCTATCTATAGTTTTTGTATTCTAATTATAAAAATGAATTCTTTTGCTTTCAACAAGGGAATGAGCAGATTCTTTCAGTTGTCATAATAGTCATTTCTATTGGAAGTCTTATTACAACTCAAAGATTCTCAATAATTGCTACAGTCAAAGTTTTCCAGAATATTCAAATTTTCAACGTTTGTGAAAACCAAGATTTTGAAACAATTTGAAGGGCTTTTTATGGCCTACTGAAGAGAAGATTTGGCTGCTCAAAAGTTTCCCATATTTATTCCTACCTGGATTAATCAAACTTGGACCGAAATTAGTCTGAAATACTATATGTGAGTTATTTGGAATGTGGTTTAAAGATAGGAGCACATTCTGAATTTTGAAGTTAAAGAATGAAAAATAATCAGATTGCCAAACTTCACTTATTTTATGACAACTTAGGATACAAATGAGACATGATTGGAGTACAGATAGTGCTTGCCTATTGAACACTTATTCAGCAACCATTACAATAGTCCTGAAAAAGGAGTTTTACAATGGGAAACAGTCATTTCCCACGAATATTTACATATGTGCTCATGTATCGTTATGTATATGCAGAAAAGGAAACTGGACTTGTTTAGAATTCAAGATGTATGACTGTTTTATTTTCCATATATATTCAAAATCTTAGAAAATAATTCTTAGAGTTAACTGATTTTGATGGACTGCACTTTGTACCACTTCCCTTTTATATACCCACGTGTGCACACATGCACACATGCAGAGAGAGAAAGAGAGAGAGAGAGGGAGAGAGAGAGAGAGACTGACTGATTCTCACATACATACAGAGAAATATAGGCACTCATATATTATTTAAAAATTTGACTAATTTAACTAATATAGAATAAGAAAAAGAAAAGGAAACAAAATCAAAGAAGGAACTGAAAGTTTGAAAGCAAAGAAGGGAAAAAGATGCAAAGTAGCCACTTCCGATTTTCCTTAGAGCAGTTATTACAATTATAAATTTATACTTGCTCTATAGTTGCAAAATAACTTTGTTTTCTATATTCTTTCCAATAATCAAAACTATAAATCATACATTTATTTTTGTCTGTTTCTTTCAAAAAGTCTGTAAAAGTTTCAAGTCAGCAAGAAACTATTATCTTTTCTCTGATCAAAGTAGTCAATTTGGTTCTCTCGGTAAATTCAATTATCTTTAACAATTATTCATTCATTGTTTGTCGTAACATTTTTGCATATTTTGCATATAACAACAACAATAATATCAGTGCAGTTATAAAAATTGTATAAAAGCATATATAAAAACAAAAGTCCATGACTTTTTGTCTATTCTCCTCCAAAGATCTCCAGTTTCAATTGTATTTTAATTTCTAAAATTCTCTAATTGAAAGTAAAAAGAATTTGTGATTTTGAACATTGTAAGGCTGAGTTTGAAATAGAATTATGTACAAATAACAAATATGTAGTTACTAAAATATGTTACTAAAATTTGGAACAGAAGAACAAGTGTATAATAAAATTTTTGGTTAAAATATACAAATATAACAATGGGAAAATATGTGGTTGAAAGGATTGAATTTACATTATTTTTTAATAAAATCTATTATTGGTATAGGTCAGTGTTGACAAACCTTTTTGGTACTGAGTACCAAAATGGGAGCGTGCATTTGGGGGAACACCAGAAGCCGGAAGAGCAGCTCCCTGGCGCGCACACACAGGAGCTCTGGAAACCTGAACAGCAGTTCCAGAAGAGTGCCAGAAAGCAGAAGAGCTGAGCTTCCAGTTTCTGGTGTGCTCATGTGCATCGGTCACCTGGTCTTCCAGTTTCTGGCGTGCATGCGTGTGCGAAGACCAGCTGGCCAGTGCTCATGCCTGCCAGGAAGCTGCTCTTCCAGTTTCCAGCACTCCCATGTGCACAAAGACCAGCTGGCACACCGTAACCCAGAAGAGCAATGGGCAACAGCTGGCATGCCCGGAGAAATGGCTCTGCATGCTCCTTCCAGCACACGTGCCATAGATTCGCCATCATTGGTATAGGTCATCAGAGAAATTATCTAAAATTTTAAAAAGTTTATGGTGGAAGTGTGAATAAGAAGGGATACTTTATAAATTAGAACATCACACTCTGCCATAATGTAATTTGTTTGATATAGAACATTGGGTGACATAGTCATTGTAGCTTGTAAAGAATGTTTGTAGCTTAATTTAATGTGTGAACCATATCAGTATGCTAGTATTCTGCTATGGTTAGCATTTTTTATTGCTGACTAACTACATAAAGTATGTGTCCTTATGTAGTCAGCAATCTCTGACTAGAGATTAGAGTGCTTGATTAGGACCCAGGAAGTTTGTCTTTTACTGAAGAAAGGGATGAAACTGTGAAGCTCATTGGATAGTACAGGTAGTCTTCGACTTACAACAGTTCGCTTTGTGACTGTTCAAAGTTACAACATTACTGAAAAAAGTGATTTATGACCATTTTTCACATTTTCGACCTTTGCAGCATTCTCGTGGTTACGTGATTTACATTTGGCTGCTTGGCAACTGACTCACTGACGGTTGCAGTGTCCTGGAGTCATGTGATCACCTTTTGCAACCTTCTGACAAGCAAAGTCAATGGGGAAACCAGATTCGCTTAACAGCTGTGTTAGTAATTTAACAACTGTAGTGATTCACTTAACGTGTGTGTGTGTGTGTGTGTGTGTGTGTGTGCATCTATATATCTATATCTATATCTATATCTATATCTATATCTATATATCTATATATCTATATATCTATATATCTATATATCTATATATCTATATATCTATATCTATCTATAATTTAAAATATAATAATACATAATAATATGTTTGATTCTTGATGGCTAACAATTATTAATAGAAACAGGATAAAATAACCATTAAAAAACCCCCACAATGTTAATAGCATAGAATGACTGCTGGGAACATTCAGCACATTCAAATCAGTCCTACATTCAAATCAATCATAAGATGGATTTATTTGTACTGGTAAAATCCCAGACTAGATGGCAAAACCAGGTTTTTAATGCATTGCAAAAGGTCAGCAAGTCTAATCTCAGGGAACATGATATCCCAAAGGACGAACACCAGGGCACAAAAATTGTCTTCTTGGTCCTTCTGGATGGAAATGTCTAGGAAATGAGATGCAGAGAAGGCCTCCTGAAGAAGTTCCTGTAAAGATAAAAAGAGGAGAGATTTAGAATAATACAGGCTCATAGCATGGCAAGGCTTCACTGATGACTGATAACAGATTTTGTCCCAGATTTTTTCCTGATGGTTAGTACTGCCCACTAATGAATCTGGTAGTGATACCTCACTGTTTTAATTTTATTTTTTCTATTTTTTTTTACTGATAGATGTTTTTATATTATTATTTTACTAGAATGAAGTTTAACTAATTTTAGTAGTTAAATATGTATTTACAGTATTCCAATGGTCTCTGTGGAAAGAAAGTAGAATAGAGGTATAATAAACATCTATTAAATATTGCTTGTACTTTCTGTTAATTCTATGACATCACGAGATTAACATCAAGAGGTTATTACTACACTATTACACTACATACAGTACTAACATTGTAAATCAAATCAAGCTAAAATTGTAATCAAAGTATTTCTTGAAGATGGTGAATCATATTGAATGTGATAATAAGTTGCTTTTAAAATTGCTGGCAAGTCTATGGATATAATGTTAATTTTCATAGTTCCTGTTAGAAGCTCTTATGGGTATCTTTTGTTTTCCTTTTCTTTAGCAATGAATCAAAGTTATGACATCTGCAGTGGAGAGGCAACAGTGCATAAACCGTCGAAGGATATCTGTGATGCACAGGTAAAAAATAATTACTCATGCATGATAGAGATTGGGAATCCTCTTTCTACAAATTCTACAAATTGCTAATACTTATATACTATGCCACAATCCAGCTATACAACATGCAAAACTACATTATTATGTTTGGGGCTTTCTGCTATTTAAGGGTCTAACCTCCTGAAAATCAGGTGTGTGGTTACACTTCTACATTTATCTTTTTAGTCAGATCAATTTGTAGTATTCTGATTTCTTGCATTAAAATAAATATAACTGAATTAAATACATTATTTTTGGGCAATATAATTTGCAGGTGTTATAGGGTTAGGTTAAAGCTTAAATCTTCTTAACACCACATGTAAAAACATAAAGGTTGATAGTTTAATTCCTGAAAAGGAATGTAAAATTTGGACCTGTCTGGAAACTTGTGCTCAAGAAACAAACTTTGCTATAGCTAGTATTGAGATATATAGTCTGATGTTGGGTAGAAAGTGAAAAAACATATCCCTATCAAGTAGACAGTGCATTTCTGTTACAAGATGTCCATACATGCAAGAAATTATATCACAGCTATTTTTCTGGAATTTATCCTACCCTGCTTAATAAGAACATTATTTTAAAAAATTGGGAAGAAAAAAATTGATGTGATATTTTGTCAATTGTCAGTTCCAGCAGTACTTTTTTAAAAAAATTCCTTCTTCAAACCTTATTGCATTTATTTTGATGCAGCAGGCTGACTCCACCACTAATTAAGATGTGCTTTTGAATTAAAGCACTTGGCAACCTAGCCCTTGAGGATATGGATGATTTCCCCTGTTGACTGTTTAAAATTCAATAAAATGGAAACAAATTTGCCTCCTTCATTATTTGATGTATGAAGCTGCCTTCAACTTGATGTTGAATTGAGATGAACAGATGGGGTGGATTAGGCCACATTAACTAACTATTATGGGAGTTGGCTCATATTGCTTGAAGAAGGCTGATGACAGTAATTGCAGTAAAATTTTATAATGGATCCATCATAATGGATTGTGTTGACTATTTCTGCTTTGGGTAAGTACTACCAGTGAAGTTCTCACTACTGGTAGATGGTAGCTTAACCCTTTGGTGCTCTTATTTAATGATGAGTATATTTTAATACGTTTTTTAATTAGTTGGTTTAATATGTATGCACCCCAAATTGTAGGTCAACTAAGAGGCCATATAAATTGAATATATAAATAAATGAGTACATGTTTCTAATTTTAATCCCTTTCTTCTGTTTGCTCCATATGGGAAAATAGACAGGATCTTTTGAAAGATCTTGTCTATTTAGCTGCTTAGCTGCCCAAATGTTACTTTAATCCTTATATTGGGTGACTTTCTCTATTGTATCTATTTTGTATTTTTTATCGTCCACCATGGCCAGGATCCCTTCCGGTATTAGCCATCTGAAGGCTATGTTGTGTCTGTTCAGCTGTTTGGTTAGGAACTGGTATTGTTGTCTCTGATTCCTGATTCTTCGGCGTATTTGTTTTAGGACTATAATTTCTTTACCTTTGTATGTCAACGTCCCTCCTCTGGATTTCATATATACCTTGTCCCTGATTGATCTTTTTGAGAATCTGACATGTACTTCTCATGCCAGACGATGCCTCCTTATGTAGTTTGTATGGACACGATAGGTTTCGTCTATTTGTCCCTGTATATCCAGCTTGTCTTTTTCTGTTATTTCTGCTATTATCTCAGCCATTTTTCCACTAAGATCCTCATCTCTCTCTTCTGCAATATTTTGGAGCCACAGGAAGTATGAAGCCTTTTCCATCTCGAGGGTTGCTAAGGAGTCGGACAGTTCTTTATCAATTTGAGCCGTTTTCTGTTCCATTCTCTCTACTTTCGTCTCTACTGAAACTATTTTGGCTTCTGCTATCCTAATCCTTTGTTCAATTTCGGTTATTGATTGTTGTATGTCTCCAATTCTGTCATTCATATTTTTAATATTCCCCCTAACTTCTCCAATTACGCACAGTCACTCATGCCCTCGTCACCTCTCGTCTGGACTATTGTAATGCTCTCTACATGGGGCTCCCCTTGAGGTGCACCCGGAGGCTCCAACTGGCGCAGAGTGCGGCCGCGCGGGTGGTTATGGGAGCAACATGGAGCTCCCATGTAACACCTCTCCTGCGCGAGCTGCACTGGCTCCCGGTGGTCTTCCGGGTGCGCTTCAAGGTTCTGGTTACCACCTTTAAAGCACTCCATGGCTTAGGACCTGGTTATCTACGGGACCGCCTACTACCACCAACAGCCTCCCACCGACCAGTACGCTCCCACAGAGAAGGCCTCCTCCAGGTGCCGTCGGCCAAACAATGTCGGCTGTCGGCCCCTAGGGGGAGAGCCTTCTCTGTGGGGGCACCGACGATCTGGAATGAGCTCCCCCCAGAGATACGGAGGATCCCGGATCTGCGCACCTTCCGCCGCGAGTTGAAGACGCTTTTATTTCATCAAGCGGGCCTCGCCTAAATCTTCTCCCTTTTAAGTGTAAATTTTAAATTTTAATGTATTTTAAAATTATGGGTATTTTAAATTATGGGTATTAATTCAGCCAAATTTATTTAATTCATTTTATTCGATTTTAAATTTTGTATATTTATGTGTTTTATTTCATGGCTGTACACCGCCCTGAGTCCTTCGGGAGTAGGGCGGTATAGAAATTCAATAAATAAATAATAAAAAATAATAATAATTTCATTTTTTATTTCTGTGTGAAGTAATCTCATTTCTTCCTGGTTCTCTGCTATTTTTTCTTGTGTTTTTAGTAACGTTTCCTGTATCATCGAGAACATGCTTTGCATGGTATTTAAAGTCATTTCAGTTTTTTCTTTCTCCTTTTCTTTCCCTACTATACTGTCTAATATTTTTTGTTGCATTAGTGATGCTGCCATCGTTGTAGTATTTACAGCTGGTTTTTCCCCTGTTTTCTTATGGTAGATATTGTTGACATCTTTAGTGTTCGGGAGAAACTTTCCCAGGCTAACATAAAATTCTTAAACACTGAGTTTCTATCCTCTGTTTCTATAACTTCTTTAGCTGGATTTATTCTTATCTACTCTCACTGTTTAATCAAACTTTAATCCCACAGTGATTTTTTGCTAGACAGCCCACTATACTGAATCAATAATTAATTAATCAATCAATATTCAATTCAATCAATTATTGCAATAACAATCAAAGAGTCTTAGTTAAATTTCATTCAATCCCCTTCCTCTTTTTCCTGATTCTATAAAATCTTAACACAGTCTATACTTAAGGCTTATAACTTAAATAATTTAATAAGTAAATGAATTTTAAAATATAAATCATAACTTCTGCAAGTTTTAAGTTGTGATGGGTACTTCTTTGTCACTTTAAAATGTCTAATAACTTGTTATCTATAAATATATACAATATATACAATGTGACCAAGCTTTTGGCAGATAAAGAATAAAGAGAGATTTCTCCCCCACCTTTTTTTGATCGTACTTAGCGTTATTAGTCCAATCCCTTCAGTGACTTAAATATGGCTGCTCCTGCTTTCCATTCTAAACAGCTTTTCTTCCCTTCCGTCTTATCACTGCAGTCCTCAATGGCACCAGTAAGCAAATTAGCGTTCTTCAGCTTGCCTTAAAACTCAGAGTTCCGTTGCTTTTTAATTTGTCTTCTTCTTTCGTGCTTGTTCCACCACCACTCAGCTGCTTTTCAAAGTCTTAGAGACCCTGGTTCAGTCCATCTTAGTCACTCCACGAGGTTATAATCCCTCTCGAGGGGCGGGCTTCTTCCCCAGTAGATTTGGGGGGTTTGTCTCATTTCCTCTCCGATGCTAGCACTGTGTCCAGAGGCTTTAAGGCTTCCCCTGTTGTTTCCCCATCTCTACGGGATCGGAAAAGCTCATAAAGAGCTTCTATTGAAGAATCTTTGGGTTCCAGAAACGGCGGCTGCCATTTCCTCACCCGCTCGCGATCTATATTGGGTGACTTTCAATTGAGTTAGTCCAGAACTTCCACCAATTTATCCAGGAAGGGCAAAATTGGAATAGCTGTATTAGGAAAACTATGAATAATGATAGCATGCTATTCATTTCAATCTATAATAAGTACTTTATATTTATAATATTTATTACAGAGCAGTTGACGTATTTATCATTTGGTTGCACATCATGGTTGCACCATTAGGTTGGTTCTTTTTGTTGTCCATATTGAGTTTATATAAATGCCATTTCAAGTTTTGTTGTTCAAGATTTGTTCGAGATTTAAAAACAAAGGAATTCATCTGCTCTAATAAGCAGCATAGTAATAAGATTATGTGGGTGATTTACAGAAAACAAAAGTATTTCAATTTCAGTGAATCCAGACATTTAAGTAGTCTGAAACTACTTTGAATACTTTGCAAAATTAGTAACATTCATATTAGCTAATACCCCATTTTTTATTTATATAAATTATTGGGGGTGTTGAACTGAAAAGAAACAGATAAGGCCAGCACAAGACCATGTATTAATTTGCATATTTGGCCATTTGGTAGCACTAATGAATGTATTTTTCCTGTAAACAAAATTATTATTGTTTACAAAGTAGTAATTTAGAATTGTATATACATAATCATATATATAATCATAGAGTGGCTCAGTGGCTAAGATGCTGAGCTTGTCAATTGAAAGGTCGGCAGTTCAGTGGTTTGAATCCCTAGTGCTGTGTAATGGGGTGAGCTCCCGTTACTTGTCCCAACTTCTGCCAACCTAGCAGTTCGAAAGCACGTAAAAAATGCAAGTAGAAAAATAGGGACCACCTTTGGTGGGAAGGTAACAGTGTTCTGTGCGCCTTTGGCATTTAGTCATGCCGGCCACATGACCATGGAATTGTCTTCAGACAGTGCTGGCTCTTCGGCTTTGAAACGGGGATGAGCACCGCCCCCTAGAATCGGGAACAACTAGCACATATGTGCGAGGGGAACCTTTACTTTATATATAATCATTCTTGGAATCCTAACAATTTTCTTGCTTCTCTAAATTTCTCATATCTTGGAGTGTCTTACCTGACAATACAGAGGTAGTTGAATTTATAGATAACATTAATAATAATGATGTTTATTTGTATCTTACGCTAAACCATTGTAGTTAACAGTATAGACTGATTCACCAAGCTAACTAATTGTGATTTATTTACTAAAACACAAAGAAATAACTACATGGTTTACTATTACGTAGGATTTCTTTTCTTATATACAAAGTTACAAACTGACAAATTAGCATCTGCAAGTTCATAAATGGAATGCAAATCTCAAGGTTAAGAGAAAGCTGAGATTAGTGTTTTGTGATTTTTATTGTAGTCAGCAGGAGTTTTGAAGGTCTGCGTGTAAAGCAAGAATAGTTCTGAGGACAGACATACTTTTGTAGTGACATTGAGCTTAAAGGGATGAAAATCATTTTTTTCTGAGTTTTCTCTAAGAGATTCAGGTTATTTATCTTTGTATCACTTTTGGCTTACTCATTTATTAGTGATATTTTTCCTTTTGAGAACATAATTTTCTGGACCATTTTACTATTAAGATAACAACATTTTGCTTTGTGCTATAGAATCACTATATAGTATTTTTTTTCCTCTTTTCAAGCAAGTTTGGTATAATGGTTAAAGCTCCAGGCTACCAACCAGAAGACCGTGAGCTCTGGTCCAGTCTTAAACATGAAATCAGCTGGGTGGCTTTGGGTTAGACACTCCTTCAGCCCAATCGCTTCACAGGGTTGTTGTTATGGGGAAAAATAGAAGGAGGAAGGAGTACTAGGTACGTTCACTACCCTGCATTAGTTATAAGCATAATAAAGATAGCATAAGAAAATTGAGAGAGAAAGAAACCTATGCTGTTTCAAGTGTTCTTCACACATTGTTAGGAATACAATTAAAGTGTACATTAATGATCATGCAGTTAGGTGACTTTGGGCCAGAAGCTGTCCTTCAGCCTCAGAATCTATTCAATTTTTATTATGATATAATTGGTGATTAAAGGCAGGATAAATAAATAATGGATAAAGTAATCTTGTAGGAAATGAACTTGTGGAAAACCTGTTTAAAATATTAATTTTTTCACTTTATAATCAAGATGTTTAAATTTTCACTTTGAACACACAGATAATATTCGCTTATCAATGGTAATTTGGACTGGAGTTTTGTTGCTACATGATGTGTTAATAAAACACAACATGACTGAAGTGCTTAGTGACAGAAATCACTACATTTCTGGTTGCTGTCATTAAGTGAATCATTGCCAGTTACCAAAGTCATGTAGTTATGTACATGTAGTCCCTGCTTGAGACCTCCTGTTGGTTTCCCCATTGACTTTGCTTGTAGGAAGTTGGCAGAAAAGATTGCAAGTGGCAATCGTATGACTCCAGGATACTGGGATATCATAATTGCAAGCTGGCCACCAAATTGTAATTTGCTCATTTTGCATTCTTTTGATTTCACCCCTCATCCTACTTAACATAAATCTCCTGACATTTTAGGATTTACTACTAGATCCACATGTGGCATTTGATTCCAAAAAAAGGTGGAACACCCACTTTAGGGTAGACTTTGTTTTTGAGTTGGTTTTTCAGACTCTGTAGTACTTCAAAGAGTAAACAGGATCATGACAGAAACAAAATGCATTTCTTAATTAAATGCAATTAAGTATCATTATTCCCCATATTTTACTACTTTCTCATATCTGATTTAAATTACTACATTTTGGCAAAACTTCTGGAGCAGTTTTATTGTTTATTATTGCATTTATATTCTGACTTTTTATAAATTTAAGGTGAGGTTTTCTCTTCATTTCCTCTGAAGTGAAATTGACTAAGAATAATTGATCAGAATCACCTCTGTAATCTAGGGAATAACTTGAATTTGGAGCTTCTTGATAATAAGCACAATTTTTTTTATCACTCAATATTCAATATTAAGAATATAGATTCTTAAATTCTGTCTGTATGCACAGAGACATTTGTATATCAAAATGCTGTAAGTTATTTTGATAATATCTCCATACAAAACATTTATTTTTATATAGACTGTCATGCCTGAAACAATAAAAATCATATACATATACATATCTTTTCTCTTTTTTATCTAACATACTTTAATAGTTATATGTTATACATACAAAGAAGGGTGGAGTGTGTGAAATAGAAGCTTGTGCTGTTATTTTTAGGAATGACTCTCTTGCTCTCCATCCTTTTCCAGGGCTGTTCTTGGCTAACTTTCCAATGAATTTGTAACTTTTACTGTGGTTCTCTTATGTAACAGGAAACAAGTTGACGGGAACAAACGCACTGCCTGCATATCAGCTGCATCCATAATAGCAGCTTACTTAGTTCAGCATTGCCTCTGCTATGTTAAGCAGATAGCATCACATAGAAAGAGGAGATTGTGTGACTCGTTTGGTGCCTGTTTTGTTTTTTTAAGCAAGAAGCAACGGTTTGCTCAGCATAAAATTGGAACATTTCAGAGGGTGAAATGGAGAAGATGAGTTTTTGGTGAAATTCAAAGTTTGTGATTGTCATGTCCTGGGACTGTGGATTTAAATACCTTTTTCCTTTTCCACCAACCTTGAAGGCAGGAATTATGTGCAAGCTTCAAGAACGAGAAGATGTTGGGCACATCGAACTTGTCCAGAAATTTGCAAAAGAAAATGGTCATGTTCCACAGGCAAACAAAAGAGAACCAGGGAATATAGACCAGGTAGGACATTTTTCCATTTTTTTCCAAATAGTAAAGTAATTGGAAACAATCCAGGAATGATTCATAGTGGAGTCAATGAAATTGAATTTTGAATGTAATTCTATGAATACTTCCTGAAAAGTAAGTGCTATTTAACTCTACATACATACTGTACTTACCTACAGGAGAGAGGGACGGAGGGAGGGAGGGGCAGAGAGGGGGGGGTTAACCATAATTGATGACATTTAATGTCTTTGAATGGTACTCATAATTTACTTTTTGCATCTGGAATTTTTTTCAGTTTCTTCCCCTTCAAAATGAAAGTGAACTTTCAACCAGGCTTCCCAACTTGGCACCTTCCAGATGTGTTCCCAGCAGATTGGGAAGGTGCTAGAATGAGGAAAAATTTTCTTGAGCTGTTTAGACTAATAGACATTAAACTATGCTTCTGAAGCATTGCAGCTATCTACTTGATTTGTTGGCATGATATTGGCTGGGAATTTAAGAATTATAGTCTCAGGGATGTGGTCCAAGTTAAAAAAGCCTGAATTAAATTACTTGTAATCCTCAAAGGGATTCTCCTTAGCATTTAAACTAAAGATGTGTTGTAATTACACTAATTATTGATTACCAATATATCATTGGGTTGGGTTTTTTTTTTTTTTTTGGTGTTTAGGAAATCCAACCAAGATGTTAGAAGTTTTAAGAAGTTTTACATTCTTGAAATATGTGATGGATTCTTGTTTCTTGCATACTGACAGTTTCTGCAAAATAGTGTTACTTAACTTTGAATCCCAGGCATTTAAATTGAAGCAGTCTACCTTCTTCTCTCAGTCAAGAGATCATTTTTCCTATGATGCTTGAATCCTGTCCTTCTTGTTAATACATTTAATGTACTAGGTTTTGAGAGCTTTTATATCCCAATCATTTCTTATTATTGACTATGTTGGTAGGGCTGATGGTAATTCAAAATAATGGCATATATTCTTATTAGAGTATTTTTAGGAAATTCCTTTAGGAAATTAATCTTAATTGTATGTGACCAGCATACTTGCATTATCGGGTAATACTGGAATAAATGTTTTCTGCAAACGTTGTAATAGTGATGGCAAGGAGAATCTATTTTTAGATATTTAAAACTGGCAAAGGAGTGCAAGTTTTTTTAAAAAATCTTAGAAGTTAATCATATTTGGGAGTACATTGTGTTGTCTTGATCTCTAGAAAGGGACATTTGTGGAGTCCTATTTCTATCTGCAAAGCAAAATGCCTTTCTGTTTACAGTATTCCACAAGCCCATTATTTCTCTTATCAACTTTTAGTGTGTTTTTTCACTTGTTTTTTTCTCTCCCTTTTCCCCCCAGTAACACTGCTTGTTCATATTATTCATTTATTTATTTAGTCACATTTGTATAACTGCCCAGCTCACATAGTGACTCTGGGAAGTATGCGCAATAAAACAATCAAAATACATTAAAAAATAAATAAAAAAGAGAATGGTGCCAAAATGTGCAAAATTGCATTCAGTTTCCATATAATCATCTAGCAAGCTCCATTTTGTCATAATTTTAGGGCTTTCTGGCAGTCTGGATAGGCTTGGGACCAGCCTCACCTTGGGGAGGGAATGATGTTTCACAGAATGAGGGGCATGGCAGAAAGTCTTCCTTCTTGGTCCTGCCTGATTAAACTCACACAAAATGCATTTCCTGCTGGAGCAGATAGAACAGGGAGATTTAACAGGGAAAAGGTCCCTCAAATATCCCATTCATTTATTTAATTCATTGATTTTTTTAATCGTCATGTTTTTGCAATGTGCAATAATTTATGTTAAATTGATGCTGCTTTTAAATGATATTAAAAATAAGTTCATAAAAATAATTACCAGAAACAAATCGTGTAGAGTGGAGTAATAGATAGTTTCTTTTTTACACTTCCTCAAAACTGAGTTTCTGCAATACTTGTATGATTACTTTTTAATCTTTGGTGGGAAACAATGCAAAAATAATACATAAACACTTAGATACACTTAACACATTTAAAAATGCTGACTTCTGGCTGACATTGTGGCAATATCAGACGTGAGGAGTGGGTCTCCGCGCTCCTGCGCCAAGTTCTCCACATTAGAGGACTCTGAAAGGACTAAAGTCACCCTGGAGGGATGGTGAAGAAAAGAGGGGAGCCTGCAGGTCATGGAGAGTCACAATCTCTCCTGCTTGACTCAGGTTTTTTTCCCCCTCTCCTTCATGATGAGGAGAAGAGGCAGCTAAAAATGGCGGCTGTGAAGTTGGATCAGCCAAGGCAACAAAGAAAGTGCAGAAGCAGTGTAAATGAATTGTGAATGGAACTGGATGAGAAAATTCCTTTTTTACTCAAAACCTATCCTTAAAAAGAAAAGAGGGGAGAATTCCAAAAGAGAGACTTAACTATTTATTAAAGCGGCAAATAATTACATATAGAAAAACTCAGACCCAAAAGAAAAGAACTAAGAGAGGAAAAGTTAAAAATTTCAAAGTACAGAAAATTGGATGGCTAAATTGAGTAGGCATTATTTTGGAAAGACATTTCATAATGCTGGATCTATCTACTTTAATAATTGACTTTGCTTTTATAAATTGAATTTAAATTGGATTTAATAGCTGTTAGAACTGAGACAATGTTGAAACCTAAGCTGAGAGCTCTATCTATTGATAAAGGAAAATATACCATATTCTATAACTCTGGGAAAATTTTTGATTAGAAAAATAAAATACATTTATTTGGAGAACTGTGGTGATATTTACTCTTCGATACTTATCTACCTTATAACTATGGGAGGTCCAATGGTGAGAACAAGGAAGATAAGTAAAGCAATTTTGAATGCTAGGATATATGACTAAACTTATAGAGAGGACATAAGGAGATTTTGGAGAGTTTCCTGGACTACCTGAACATCTGATTGAATAACCCTGGGATATAAAAGAACTCTGACTAAAGTATTCTTTGAGGAGCAACATTAGGCCTGAACATATGGTTGTTGAACTATTGAGCAAAAGTGGGCCTTATTAAAATAAGATGAGATGCTCTACATGGGGGAAAATGAGTGTAAATTCAAAAGAAATATTGTTGATGATTAAAAGCATTAAGGACTCTATGACCAAGAACTTCAGGGAGATAAACAATTTAATGCAAAGCATAGATGGGAAAATAGAAAATATTCTACAAAGGACAATGAATAAAGACCAAGATGCCCAGGAGAAGGGAGGAGACAACGGAAAGAATGGAAGAAAAGACAGAACAGATAAATCGACAAGCAAAACAAGAAGAGAAGATAATAAAGACTATAATGATTAATGAAAATAATCAGGGGAAAAGTATTTTAAGAGATTTAAAAATGGAATGGGAAGATACCATTGAAAAAGAGATGGGGTTTGAGCAGATACCCTGGACGCTCAGCAGCATAAGAGGATAGAAATGGGAGGAATATTTAGACTAAATAGTAAAAATCCAGAGATAGATAGAGACAAAGATCCAAGAGAGGAGTATGGGAGGTATGCCAAAAAACAAATAAGAATTGAAATATAATGAGCAAGAGATGATGGATAGAAAGGAAATGTTTTTTCTTGTTTTTCTTTCCTTCTTTCTTTAATATAATGAGGGCCTGATTAAAAGTTAGATTAGAAGTAGAAATAAAGATACACAACTTATAAATCTTATAAAAGTAATAAATAGACGGAAGATTAGAGGTTGAAAGATGGATTTAATATGTATGTTTAAATAATATGGTGATTGTTGTCAGGATGGTGTAAGGGGATTAGATTTTAATACAACATGTGTACTATAGTAGGATTAGTAAGGATGGCCTGATTAAGTAGAATAAATTAAAGAATTGAATGAAAAGATTAGAGGTTGAAAGATAGTATTATTATGTATGCTTAAACAATGTTGTAATTGGCATTAGAATGATACATTGAAATATTGAACAATTAAATAATGTAGATTTATATCTTAATACAAATAGAAGTATTGATACTAGGAGTATATAAACTTAATCAATGTAACAAATATTATTGATATTAGTATTGTTATTTGTATCAAAATGAATGATACCCAGATGCCATACTGTTCATGTATTGATGTTGACATATATATATATATATATATATAAACTAGCTGAATACTTGTGCTCCGCTACGAAACTATGTGATTGGGCTTGATAAAGATATTTACAGCTTGAAAATTAATGAGTACTTACAATGGGCCTCTCCCCTTCTCTCCCTCAGGCTTGCCCCACAGAAGCCTCCCCTATCCTATCCCCTTCTCTCCATCAGGCTTGCCCCACAGAAGCTTCCCCTATCCTATCCCCTTCTCTCCTTCAGCCTTTCCCCACAGAAGCCTCCTCTATCCTATCCCCTTCTCTCTCTCAGCCTTTCCACACAAAGGCCTATCCTATCCCCTTCTCTCCCTCAGGCTTGCCCCACAGAAGCCTCTTCTCTCCTCTTCTCTCTCTTAGGCTTGCCACACAGAAGTCTCACCTGTCCTAGCCACTACTCTCCCTCAGGGTTGCCACACAGAAGCCTCTTCTATCCTATCCCATTCTCTCCAGAGTTATTTTCAGGTTGGGAGGGTGAGTAGAACGTCTAACTAATTAGCATCAGAGCATGTTAATCATAATATAAGAAATACTAATGATCTGATGGTCATTTTGAAAAATCCTTTCTTAGTGAGCACCTAGAAGCCAAGAGGAACATGCGTGCCAAATTTCAAGTTTGTAGGCTTTATGGTTCTGGAGATTTTGTAATTGCGGCGTGAGTGATTTTCATTTTTATATATAGAGATAAAAATAAACATATAACCAAAAAAAAAACAAAACCCCACATTTAACAATGCTAAATAACTTGAGTAAGTTAGCTTGCTTACTCAAGTGGATTATGTTATGTTCTGAAATAGTTTTGTACCAATTTGCAACACATAGTAATAAACCTGTGACCAGTGCTGCAAAAGATGGCCAGCTGATAGTCTAGCAACTATCAGTGATTTGAGTTGTC